GAAGGAAGGAAGGAAGGAAGGAAGGAAGGAAGGAAGGAAGGAAGGAAGGAAGGAAGGAAGGAAGGAAGGAGAAAGAAAGAAAAAGAAAAAAAGGAGAAAGAAAGAGAGAAAATGAAGGCTCCTAACCAAGACCCAAATGGCTGACCACCTTGCCTCCATGTGGGGGTTTACAGTGGAGGACCTGTCAGTAAGGTTTTCCTCCAGATTTTTAAACACCGTTTTCCCAAAACCTTTGGGGGAAAGAAAGATAAAATCAAAGCTACAAACTTCATTCCCTCACTCTTTAATTTGACATTTATAGAGTAGACATGAATGCTATCATTTGTATCTGAAAAAAAATTGACATAGATTTTACTAATCTCCCAAGCCCCATAAATAAACAAATGTCAATAACATGCCCAACATCTACTTTTAAGTAGCATGATTTTCTTCTGAACCCACCAGAGAAAAATGGTTTCAAAACGTACCCCTAAGTAGCTGAAAGAGTTGGCCAGTTATGTATAATCATTAGATATAAGCCAATTAAATTGCAAATACTAACTGCCAAAAATGAAGATTTTTAAATATAGAAAAGTTGAATTCAAGCCACTCTATTTTCCAGTAAGATAAAGAGGCCATTTCTTGTTAGTGACAATAAAACTACATCACCAGCATAGAGAATAGTTATTTTTGTACTTTTTATAATAAGGGTACATGCAACTAGATCATGCACAAATTGTTTCAAATCATTAAGATACAAATTAAAAAGAAGAGTTGGAGGAAGCAGAGGCAGAACACAGTTTCATTTTATAAAGACTGGAATATCTGATCTGTTAGAAAACCATTCTTAGACGGTGCATAAGCATCAGTTATCAGATCTTACAGCCCAGCTGCATTACGTTATCTTCTGCTCCACCATCCCCACCCCCTGCTCCGTGTCTCAGGAGGCTGACTTGTATGGGCTGCATCAATGGGTTCCCTTGCCCTCGCCCTTCTACAGGAGTTCAGCCAATGGGAGGCACCGCAGGAGATTAGAAAATGGGAGAATAGGAAGTTAGATAATTTAACTCCTCAGCTTCCTCCCTGCTGGACCACTGTGGGTTGGCTGCATTCCTCACCCAAATGCTATTTTCAGGCAGCCCTCTTAATTTGGCTCTACTCTCTAAATCCCAGTAGCCCCTCACTTTCTTTGATTTTTTTTTACCCATGAGTTGCAGTAACTCCTTACTATTATTGTT